CCCGCCGGCCCGCACGGCCCGCCGGCCCACACGGCCCGCCGGCCCACACGGCCCGCCGGCCCGCACGGCCCGCCGGCCCACACGGCCCGCCGGCCCACACGGCCCGCCGGCCCACACGGCCCGCCGGCCCACACGGCCCGCCGGCCCACACGGCCCGCCGGCCCGCACGGCCCGCCGGCCCACACGGCCCGCCGGCCCACACGGCCCGCCGGCCCGCACGGCCCGCCGGCCCACACGGCCCGCCGGCCCGCACGGCCCGCCGGCCCACACGGCCCGCCGGCCCGCACGGCCCGCCGGCCCGCACGGCCCGCCGGCCCACACGGCCCGCCGGCCCACACGGCCCGCCGGCCCGCACGGCCCGCCGGCCCACACGGCCCGCCGGCCCACACGGCCCGCCGGCCCGCACGGCCCGCCGGCCCACACGGCCCGCCGGCCCGCACGGCCCGCCGGCCCACACGGCCCGCCGGCCCGCACGGCCCGCCGGCCCGCACGGCCCGCCGGCCCACACGGCCCGCCGGCCCACACGGCCCGCCGGCCCACACGGCCCGCCGGCCCACACGGCCCGCCGGCCCACACGGCCCGCCGGCCCACACGGCCCGCCGGCCCACACGGCCCGCCGGCCCGCACGGCCCGCCGGCCCACACGGCCCGCCGGCCCGCACGGCCCGCCGGCCCACACGGCCCGCCGGCCCACACGGCCCGCCGGCCCGCACGGCCCGCCGGCCCACACGGCCCGCCGGCCCACACGGCCCGCCGGCCCGCACGGCCCGCCGGCCCACACGGCCCGCCGGCCCACACGGCCCGCCGGCCCGCACGGCCCGCCGGCCCACACGGCCCGCCGGCCCACACGGCCCGCCGGCCCACACGGCCCGCCGGCCCACACGGCCCGCCGGCCCACACGGCCCGCCGGCCCGCACGGCCCGCCGGCCCACACGGCCCGCCGGCCCGCACGGCCCGCCGGCCCACACGGCCCGCCGGCCCACACGGCCCGCCGGCCCGCACGGCCCGCCGGCCCCACGGCCCGCCGGCCCGCACGGCCCGCCGGCCCACACGGCCCGCCGGCCCACACGGCCCGCCGGCCCGCACGGCCCGCCGGCCCACACGGCCCGCCGGCCCGCACGGCCCGCCGGCCCACACGGCCCGCCGGCCCACACGGCCCGCCGGCCCGCACGGCCCGCCGGCCCACACGGCCCGCCGGCCCACACGGCCCGCCGGCCCGCACGGCCCGCCGGCCCGCACGGCCCGCCGGCCCGCACGGCCCGCCGGCCCACACGGCCCGCCGGCCCACACGGCCCGCCGGCCCGCACGGCCCGCCGGCCCACACGGCCCGCCGGCCCACACGGCCCGCCGGCCCGCACGGCCCGCCGGCCCACACGGCCCGCCGGCCCGCACGGCCCGCCGGCCCACACGGCCCGCCGGCCCACACGGCCCGCCGGCCCGCACGGCCCGCCGGCCCACACGGCCCGCCGGCCCACACGGCCCGCCGGCCCGCACGGCCCGCCGGCCCACACGGCCCGCCGGCCCACACGGCCCGCCGGCCCACACGGCCCGCCGGCCCACACGGCCCGCCGGCCCACACGGCCCGCCGGCCCGCACGGCCCGCCGGCCCACACGGCCCGCCGGCCCACACGGCCCGCCGGCCCGCACGGCCCGCCGGCCCACACGGCCCGCCGGCCCGCACGGCCCGCCGGCCCACACGGCCCGCCGGCCCACACGGCCCGCCGGCCCGCACGGCCCGCCGGCCCACACGGCCCGCCGGCCCACGGCCCGCCGGCCCGCACGGCCCGCCGGCCCACACGGCCGCCGGCCCACACGGCCCGCCGGCCCACACGGCCCGCCGGCCCACACGGCCCGCCGGCCCACACGGCCCGCCGGCCCGCACGGCCCGCCGGCCCACACGGCCCGCCGGCCCACACGGCCCGCCGGCCCGCACGGCCCGCCGGCCCACACGGCCCGCCGGCCCGCACGGCCCGCCGGCCCACACGGCCCGCCGGCCCACACGGCCCGCCGGCCCGCACGGCCCGCCGGCCCACACGGCCCGCCGGCCCACACGGCCCGCCGGCCCGCACGGCCCGCCGGCCCACACGGCCCGCCGGCCCACACGGCCCGCCGGCCCACACGGCCCGCCGGCCCACACGGCCCGCCGGCCCACACGGCCCGCCGGCCCGCACGGCCCGCCGGCCCACACGGCCCGCCGGCCCGCACGGCCCGCCGGCCCACACGGCCCGCCGGCCACACGGCCCGCCGGCCCGCACGGCCCGCCGGCCCACGGCCCGCCGGCCCACACGGCCCGCCGGCCCGCACGGCCCGCCGGCCCACACGGCCCGCCGGCCCGCACGGCCCGCCGGCCCACACGGCCCGCCGGCCCACACGGCCCGCCGGCCCGCACGGCCCGCCGGCCACACGGCCCGCCGGCCCGCACGGCCCGCCGGCCCACACGGCCCGCCGGCCCACACGGCCCGCCGGCCCGCACGGCCCGCCGGCCCACACGGCCCGCCGGCCCGCACGGCCCGCCGGCCCACACGGCCCGCCGGCCCACACGGCCCGCCGGCCCGCACGGCCCGCCGGCCCACACGGCCCGCCGGCCCACACGGCCCGCCGGCCCGCACGGCCCGCCGGCCCACACGGCCCGCCGGCCCACACGGCCCGCCGGCCCACACGGCCCGCCGGCCCACACGGCCCGCCGGCCCACACGGCCCGCCGGCCCGCACGGCCCGCCGGCCCACACGGCCCGCCGGCCCACACGGCCCGCCGGCCCGCACGGCCCGCCGGCCCACACGGCCCGCCGGCCCGCACGGCCCGCCGGCCCACACGGCCCGCCGGCCCACACGGCCCGCCGGCCCGCACGGCCCGCCGGCCCACACGGCCCGCCGGCCCACACGGCCCGCCGGCCCGCACGGCCCGCCGGCCCACACGGCCCGCCGGCCCACACGGCCCGCCGGCCCACACGGCCCGCCGGCCCACACGGCCCGCCGGCCCACACGGCCCGCCGGCCCGCACGGCCCGCCGGCCCACACGGCCCGCCGGCCCGCACGGCCCGCCGGCCCACACGGCCCGCCGGCCCACACGGCCCGCCGGCCCGCACGGCCCGCCGGCCCACACGGCCCGCCGGCCCACACGGCCCGCCGGCCCACACGGCCCGCCGGCCCACACGGCCCGCCGGCCCACACGGCCCGCCGGCCCGCACGGCCCGCCGGCCCACACGGCCCGCCGGCCCACACGGCCCGCCGGCCCACACGGCCCGCCGGCCCACACGGCCCGCCGGCCCGCACGGCCCGCCGGCCCACACGGCCCGCCGGCCCACACGGCCCGCCGGCCCGCACGGCCCGCCGGCCCACACGGCCGCCGGCCCGCACGGCCCGCGGCACACGGCCCGCCGGCCCACACGGCCCGCCGGCCCGCACGGCCCGCCGGCCCACACGGCCCGCCGGCCCACACGGCCCGCCGGCCCGCACGGCCCGCCGGCCCACACGGCCCGCCGGCCCACACGGCCCGCCGGCCCACACGGCCCGCCGGCCCACACGGCCCGCCGGCCCACACGGCCCGCGGCCCGCACGGCCCGCCGGCCCACACGGCCCGCCGGCCCACACGGCCCGCCGGCCCGCACGGCCCGCCGGCCCACACGGCCCGCCGGCCCGCACGGCCCGCCGGCCCACACGGCCCGCCGGCCCACACGGCCCGCCGGCCCGCACGGCCCGCCGGCCCACACGGCCCGCCGGCCCACACGGCCCGCCGGCCCGCACGGCCCGCCGGCCCACACGGCCCGCCGGCCCACACGGCCCGCCGGCCCACACGGCCCGCCGGCCCACACGGCCCGCCGGCCCACACGGCCCGCCGGCCCGCACGGCCCGCCGGCCCACACGGCCCGCCGGCCCGCACGGCCCGCCGGCCCACACGGCCCGCCGGCCCACACGGCCCGCCGGCCCGCACGGCCCGCCGGCCCACACGGCCCGCCGGCCCACACGCCCGCCGGCCCGCACGGCCCGCCGGCCCACACGGCCCGCCGGCCCGCACGGCCCGCCGGCCCACACGGCCCGCCGGCCCACACGGCCCGCCGGCCCGCACGGCCCGCCGGCCGCACGGCCCGCCGGCCCACACGGCCCGCCGGCCCGCACGGCCCGCCGGCCCACACGGCCCGCCGGCCCACACGGCCCGCCGGCCCGCACGGCCCGCCGGCCCACACGGCCCGCCGGCCCACACGGCCCGCCGGCCCGCACGGCCCGCCGGCCCACACGGCCCGCCGGCCCGCACGGCCCCCGGCCCACACGGCCCGCCGGCCCACACGGCCCGCCGGCCCGCACGGCCCCCGGCCCACACGGCCCGCCGGCCCACACGGCCCGCCGGCCCGCACGGCCCGCCGGCCCACACGGCCCTCCGGCCCACACGCCCTCCTTCCCTCACGGCCCCCCCACACGGCCCTCCGGCCCACACCCGCCGCCTCACGGCCCGCCCCCACACGGCCCGCCGGCCCACACTTCCCTCCTTCCCACACTTCCCTCCGGCCCACACGCCCTCCTTCCCACACTTCCCTCCTTCCCTCACTTCCCTCCTTCCCAAACACTCCCTCCTTCCCTCACTTCCCTCCTTCCACACTTCCCTCCTTCCCACACTTCCCTCCTTCCCTCACTTCCCTCCTTCCCACACTTCCCTCCTTCCCTCACTTCCCTCCTTCCCACACTTCCCTCCTTCCCACACTTCCCTCCTTCCCTCACTTCCCTCCTTCCCACACTTCCCTCCTTCCCTCACTTCCCTCCTTCCCACACTTCCCTCCTTCCCACACTTCCCTCCTTCCCTCACTTCCCTCCTTCCCACACTTCCCTCCTTCCCTCACTTCCCTCCTTCCCACACTTCCCTCCTTCCCACACTTCCCTCCTTCCCTCACTTCCCTCCTTCCCACACTTCCCTCCTTCCCACACTTCCCTCCTTCCCTCACTTCCCTCCTTCCCACACTTCCCTCCTTCCCTCACTTCCCTCCTTCCCTCACTTCCCTCCCACCCAGCCATGGTGGTCAACAAGTCCACCAAACGCCACGCCCTGGGAGCCATGGACGCACTCAGCGAGCTCTTTACCTCCTCGCTGCTGCCCGACTCGCGCAAGCTGCGCTGGCTGCACCAGCAGCCGCTGCTTCTCCTGTCCCCGTTAAAAGCATCCTCGTTACAAGCATCCCCGCTACAAACTGCCTCGCAGCAGTCAAAGGCTGAGGGAAAAGCAGGAGGGAAGGTGACTGTAGCGGGGGGAGACGCGGGCAGGAGGCTGCTGCGGCTGTGGCGATACGAGGAGTGTTTAAAGGAGCGGTTTGAGAGGTTTTTGGAGGGGTTGGAGGAGGGCGGAAAGGACGTGGTCGAGTTCGTGCGGGATAAGGTGCTTCGAATTCTGCATGCCCTGCTGTCGAGCAAAGCCGAGGGGGAGAGGAGGGTGCTGCTGGCTCTGGTGAATAAGGTGAGATATGGGGTAGGGGATGGGGGGATGGGATGGGAGGGGGGGGGAGAGAGGGGGGGGGAGGGAGGGGAGAGGGAGGAGAAAAAGAGGATGTGGAGAGGCACGTCCAAAGCTGAGGGGGAGAGACACGTGCTGCTGGCACCGGTGAACAAGGTGAGGGATGGTGGGGGAGGGGTGGGAGGGAGCGAGTGAGGTGTAGGGTTTCGTATTCTGCACGCCTTTCTGTTGTCCACGCCTGAGGGGGAGATGAGGGTGGTGCTGGCACTGGTGAACAAGGTGAGGGATGGGGGTAGTTAGGGGAACAGACTGGTGCCGTGGGATGAGAATGAGCTACCTGCTGGGTTGTATGCTGGACACTCACCCCGACATGGCCTCTGTGGTGGTGAAACACGTCGAGGCATTCGTGTTCTGTCCCAACATCAGCACAGTACAGAGGCGTTAAGTGGTGTAAGCAACGGAAGAAGAGGCAGCTTGCGCATATGACGCAGCTGCGATCAAAGAGTATAGCTCAAATACGATACTATTGCCAGCTTATTGCACGACGCCTTGAACGTGCCTCCTGTGGGAGGGAGTGGTGGAGCCATGAGGTTAGTGGAGACTTCAAGAAGGAACGAGAGTAGGCAGTAGAGGATGAGAAGAAGGAAGAGGAAGTGGTGGAGGGCGTAGTTTTTCAAAAAGTTGAGGACGAGGACGTCCTCGTCCTCCACCACTTTGTTGTCGTCCTCCTCCTCCTTTACTGCCCTCTTTCCTTCCTCCTCCAAGCCTCCACCAACCCCACGGCTTCACCACTCTCTCCCACACAAGGTATGCTCAAGGTGTCATGCAATAAGCTGGTAGTATTTGAGCCATACTCCTTGATCGCAGCTGCGTCATAGGCACAAGCTACCTCTTCTTCCGTCGTAGAACTTTCAATGTGGAATTTTCTCCCCCCAGGCTTACACAATTGTACCCACCACATCTTCTATTGCTTACACCACGTCGAGACGTTCGTGTCCCTTTTCACCCTCCCTTTTCTCTCCCCCCGCTCCCTTCCCCCTGTCCTCCTCCCCTCCAGCTGGGGGATCCAAGCCGAAAGGCGCCTTCCAAAGCGAGCCATTTGCTAGGCTGCCTGCTCGACGCTCACGCCAACATGGCCCCTGTTGTGGTGAACGATGTGGAAGCCATTGTGTTTCGGTCTAACATCAGCACGCGCCACTCTTGCCCTCTCTTCCCGCTCCCCGTTCCCCCTTCCCCCTTGCACCTCCCCCTTGCCCCACCCTCTCCTCCAGTTGGGAGACCCGAGCCGGAAAGTCGCCTCAAAAGCCAGTTACCTGCTGGGGTGTCTGCTAGACGCCCACCCCAACACGGCCCCTGTGGTGGTGAAACACGTGGAGGCGTTTGTCTTCCAACCCAACATCAGCACTCCCACTCCCTCTTCCCCTTCCTCCCACCCTCCCTCTCCGCTCCAGCTGGGAGACCCAAGCAGGAAAGTCGCCTCTAAAGCCAGCTATCTACTGGGCTGTCTGCTAGACGCCCATCCCAACATGGCCCCTGTGGTGGTGAAACACGTGGAGGCGTTTGTCTTCCGCCCCAACATCAGCACGCGCGCGCGGCACTACGCAGCGGTCTTTCTGAACCATATTACTTTGTCCCACAAGGGGCTGGGTCCCATGCTCGCCAGGCAGCTCATTGACCTGTACTTTGCTCTGTTTAAAGTGGTGACGGTGGGTGGGGGTGGGTACGGGGAGGGGGAGGGGGATGCGAAGGGGCGGTGGGAGGGGAGAGGCGAGGGGAGAGGAGGAGTGAGGGGAGGAGGGAGGGGGAGAGGGAGGGGAAGGGGAGGAGGACGGGGAGGAGGGCGAGGAGGAAGAGGTGGGAGGGGAGGGAGAGGAGGAGGAGGGAGAGGTGGGGGGAGGAAGGGGAAGGACCAGTTTGTGTCGGCAGCAGCAGCGGCGGGAGTGGGTGGTGTGGAGGGGCATGAGTTGGAGGCAGATAGTGCACTGCTGTCTGCTCTTTTGACAGGTATGCCTGTAACAGGGTTGTTAATATTGTGTATGTGAATGGCCGCAGTGTTTTCTGAATTTGTTAGTCGACTCATAAGTCGTCTCATCTCATGAGTCAACTAAAAATCGAGGGCGGTAACAGCGAGTATGTGAATGGCTGCAGTGTTTGCTGAGAATATCTGTGGTTCTTAAACAAAGATCTGCATGTGTGTCCATCCCATTCCCCCTCCTCGTTCCCTCCATCCATCCAACCAACCACGCGTTCCGCTACATGGCAAAGGACGACGTAACAGAGGTGACTGCGACACACACTCGGCTGCTCTCACCTCCCTCCTCTTCCCCCTCCTCGTCCACTCCTCTCCCTTTGCAGGTGTCAACCGTGCATTCCATTACGTAGCGGAGGGCGATGTCAGAGAGGTGATAGAGACGCACACCCCCCTGCTGTTCCGCATGGTGCACGCGGCCAGCTTCAACCTGGGCGTGCCCCTCCTTTGCCTCTTTCCCTCTTTCTCTGCCCCCTCCTTTGCCTCTTTCCCTCTTTCTCTGCCCCCTCCTTTGCCCCGTCCTCTCTCTTTGTAGGTGTCAACCGTGCATTTCGGTACGTCGCTGAAGACGATGTGACAGAGGTCATTGAGACGCACACCCCTCTGCTCTTCCGCATGGTGCATGCGGCCAGCTTCAACCTGGGCGTGCAGGCGCTGCTGCTGCTCTTCCAGCTCATGGCCAAGAGCGCGGCTCTCAGCACCCGATACTACCGTGCTCTCTACTCTGTTCTCTTCTCGCCCGCCCTGGCTAAATCCTCCAAGGTGCGTAATCAGGCATGCTGCATGGGACCCCTAGAGTTAGGAGTCTCCTCAGTTTGGGGACCCAGAGTTGGTCGCAGGACGGCCAGCTTCAATTGGGCTGGGCGTGCAGGCGCTGCTGCTGCTCTTCCAGCTCATGGCCAAGAGCGCGGCTCTCAGCACTCGATATTACCGCGCGCTCTACTCTGTGCTCTTCTCGCCTGCTCTCGCCAAATCCTCCAAGGTGGGTGGTGTGGGGTGGGGGTGGTGGTGGCGATAGGGTAGTGGTAGCTTGCTCTCGGCACCCGCTACTACTACCGCGCACTTTACTCCGTGCTCTTCTCGCCCTCCCTCGCCAATTCCTCCAGGGTGGGTGATTACCCTTGGTTGGGATTCAGGCGCACATAGCAGCGTTCGTCTAGAGGCTGCTTTCTCTTCTCTTCTCTTTCTTGCCTGTAACCAGTAATCCTCCCTTCACTCCCGTCTTTGTCGCCTTTCTCGCCTTTCACAGGGTCCCATGTTCATGGCGCTGGTGTTCAAGTCAATGAAAGCAGACGTCAACCTGCCGTGCATAGCAGCGTTTGCCAAGCGGCTGCTGCAGGTGGCGCTGCAGCAACAGGCCACCTTTGCTTGCGGAGCTCTTCTTCTTATTTCCCAAGTGCTCAAGCTGCGACCCATGCTGTGGTAAGAGTGCTGACTGACTGCTGTGGTGTGTTGTATGTTCTGTTCTGCCCATGAGGTGCCTCAGAAGCCAAGCGGCTGCTGCAGGTAGCGCTGCAGCAGCAGACAACCTTCGCATGCGGGGCTCTTCTTATTTCCCAAGTGCTCAAGCTGCGACCCATGCTGTGGTAAGGGAGAGAGAGTGCGTGTACTGGTGAGGCCGCAGTTTGTGCCGCTAATCAGAAGCCAAGCGGCTGCTGCTGGTGGCGCTGCAGCAGCAGGCCACGTTCGCATGCGGGGCTCTGCTGCTCATCTCCTAAAGTGCTCAAGCTGCAACCCATGCTGTGGTGAGGGAGAGTACGTGTTGTGGTAAGGGAGACTGCATGTTGTGGTGAGAGTGTCTGTGGTGAGGTCACAGTTTGTGAGGAGGTGTCTGAGAAGCCAAGCGGCTGCTGCAGGTGGCGCTGCAGCAGCAGGCCACCTTCGCCTGCGGCGCTCTTCTGCTCATCTCGCAAGTGCTCAAAATCCGACCCATGCTGTGGTGAGTAATAGAGTCAACCCATGTTGCGGTAAGGGAGAGTGCGCGTTGTGGTGTAAGGCCTTAGATCATGAGGTACCTGAGAAGCCAAGTGGCTGCTGCAGGTGGGATTGCAGCAGCAGGCCAGGCCACGTTTGCTTGCATTGCTCTGCTCTGCTGCTCATCTGGCAAGTTGAAAGGCGAAGTCCTTAAGCTGCGATGCGACCCATGCTGTGGTAAGGAATACTGCTTGTTGTGGTGAAGGCGTGGTGTGGTAAAGCCGCAGTGCTTGAGGTGCCTGAGAAGCCAAGCGGCTGCTGCAGGTGGCGCTGCAGCAGCGCGTACCACGTTCGCATGTGACAACGATCTGCTGCTTATTTCCCAAGTGCTCAAGCTGCGGCCCATTCTGTGGTGAGGGCACGTGTGGTAGACTTCAAAGATTTGCTGCGGTGGCCGTTTTGGCTTTGGTGCATTTATTGCCTACTACCAATGGTAGCTTTCGTTCAGCCTGTGCAAAGCCATGTTGATTCCATACCCGTAACAAAGCAACCCTTTACGTATCAATACTTTATACTGAAAAGTTCAGATTAAAATGCTCTTTTTAAGTGTTGAATTCTACAATTTCGTGCTATTCTTCCCAACAGGAGCGCTATTTTAGAACCAGAAGCGAATACAGACGATGTGGAGCATTTTGTGGATGTGGATAAGGAAGCAGCTAGTAACGAGGATGGATCTCTCGAGGGGAAGGAGCAACGGAAAGGAGGAGGGGAGGAGGGAGATGAGGAAGAGGAGGAAGAGGGGAGAAAGAGGAAGGAGGGAACATACGATCCAAAGCAGAGAGAGCCATCCCTGTGGTGAGTGACTCTATAATGAGTACATTGGTGTGTGACTCTGTGATGAGGGGACGGAGGAGGAGGGGAGAAGGAGGAAGGAGCTGTCGCTGTGGTGAGTGTACAGGGGTTGTCTATAGAACCACTATAGAGAGTCACTTCAAAGAACTCTCAAAAGTGACTCTCTATAGTTCACAGAGAGAGCCAATCCCTGTGATGAGTGTACAAGGGATGACTTTATAGGGGGCTCGCTCTTTAGTGAGAAATACTGGTGTGACTCTACCCCTATTAACATCTTCCAATATCTACCCTCTTCTTCCGATCTCTACCCTCTTCTTCCGATATCTACCCCCACCCTTCTCCGGCTTCTGCAACTCCTCCCCTCCCCTTCCAGCCACTCCGATAGGGCCTGCTAGTGGGAGCTGGCAGCATTGGCAGCGCACGTGCACCCCACAGTCTCCCATTTCCCCCCTTTCTCTACTTCTTCCGCCCCTCCCTATCCCCCCCTCCCCTTCCAGCCATGCGGGTAGGGCCTGTTGGTGGGAATTAGCAGCATTGGCAGCGCACGTGCACCCCACAGTCTCCCTTTTCCCTCCTTTCTCTTCTTCCGCCCCTCCCTATCCCCCCCTCCCCTTCCAGTCATGCGGATCGAGCCTGTTGGTGGGAATTAGCAGCATTGGCAGCGCACGTGCACCCCACAGTCTCTCATCTCGCCGCCTCTCTCCTCTCAGGGGAACCCGCCTCTTTCACAGGCGATCCCATCCAGGACCTCTCCCTCTCTCCGCCTTCCATTCTGTCTCTCCTTCTTACGTCCTTTCTCCCATCTTTCCCCCACCTTCTTCTACTTCTACCCCTTCCCTTCCTTTTGAACCCCCAATATGATTCCAGCCATGCGGATCGTGCCTGTTGGTGGGAATTAGCAGCATTGGCAGCGCACGTACACCCCACGGTCTCTCGTCTCGCCGCCTCTCTCCTCTCAGGGGAGCCCGCCTCTTTCACTGGCGAGCCCATCCAGGACCTCTCCCTCTCCGCCTTCTTTCCCCCCCCTCCCGTCCCCTTCCAGCCACGCTGATCGCGCGTGTTGGTGGGAATTAGCAGCATTAGCAGCGCACGTGCACCCCACAGTCTCTCGTCTCGCCGCCTCTCTCCTCTCAGGGGAACCCGCCTCCTTCACAGGCGACCCCATCCAGGACCTCTCCCTCTCCGCCTTCCGCCCATTCTCCTCCCGCATCCATCCTCCTCTTCCCCCCCCTTTCCTTCACAGGCGACCCCATCCAGGACCTCTCCCTCTCCGCCTTCCTCTCTCACCCCATTCAACCCCCTTTTTCTCCCCAAAATTCCCCACCTTCTGCACCCGGGCTCCCCTGTTTAATTCCAGCCATGCGGATAGGGCGTGCTGGTGGGAGCTGGCAGCATTGGCAGCGCACGTGCACCCCACGGTCTCTCGTCTCGCCGCCTCTTTACTCTCAGGGGAACCCGCCTCTTTCACAGGCGACCCCATCCAGGACCTCTCCCTCTCCGCCTTCCTCGACCGCTTTGCTGAGAAGCAGCAGATGCGGATGAAGGCTGCAGGGAGGGAGAATGCGGCTTCGGCTGCTGCGGTGGCTGCGGCGGGAGGGAGGAGAGGCGTGGGGTTTGCGGGTGCGGTGGGGAGGGAGGTGGGGAAGGATGGGGGGAAGGGGCAGGTTCAGGCGCATGATCTGTTTTTTCACCAGTTTTATGCGATGCAAGGGGTGTTGGGTTCGAGATGGAATAAGGGGGAGAAGAAGGGGGGAGAGGGTTGGGGCAAGAGAAGGGAGGAGGAGGAAGAGGAGGGACTGGATGTCGATTTGAAGATTGCAGAGGATGGGGATATGAGGGAGGATTTGGAGGAGGGGGATGAGGAAGGGGAGGAGGATGAAGGGGAAGAGGAGGAAGAGGAGGATGAGGGAGAGGAAGAGAAAGGGTTTGCGGGGGGAGGGTTCCTGGAAGTTTCTGATGATGATGAGGCTGCTGACGAGGCGATTAAAAATTGGATGGAGGAGGAGGGAGGCGATGGGGGGAGCGATTTGAGCGAGGGGGAAGAGGGCGTGGAGGATGTGGAAGAGGAGGTAGATGAGGATGAGGAGGAAGAGGAGGAAGGGGATGGGGGCTTTGATTATGATTATGATGACATGGATGATTTGCCTGGGGAGGACGCGGTGGGTGATGAGGAGGAAGAGGAGGAATTGGAAGAGGAGGAGGAAGAGGAAGATGAGGAAGGGGATGAGGACAAGGGGGCGGGGGAGGGGGAGGAGGGAGAAAGTGAGGAGGAAGAACAGGAGGAGGTAGCAACTAAGCCAGGCTCAAAGAAGGGAGGCAGCAGTGGGAAGGCAAAGACGGGAGGTGCTCTGGAAGAGATGCAGAGAGGAGGGAGCAAGAGAGGCACAGCCGATCGTATTGATGATAATGGCGTTGTGGGGAAGCCTTTGAAAAAACAGCGGAAAGGGGAAGTGGGGGTTGATGCTGCTGGGAGGAAATTCAAGAATGTGGACAAGAAGAGTCGTGGTGGAAAGATGAAAGGGGGTTTGTCTAGTAGCCCTTTTGCGGACTTTGATTCGTATGCCCATTTGTTGGATGAGTGACTGAATTGATGTCTGTTATGATGGTTTATAGAAATTACGGCGCTTGTCATGTCTTGCTGTTGTCATTTTTACAACTACTTTCTGAGTACACAATCAGGACAATGCATGCTTTCTGGTGTGACGAATAAAGAGTAATTACACGCGACGCAACAACGCGTACACTATTGTTGGCAACTCCCTCAATCGCACCACCCGCACACAACCCGCAACAGTGCATTCTCCGCCTGCCTCTTCCGCCCTCCTCTTACGCCCCGCTCCTCCGCCCCCCTCTTCCGCGCCGCTCTTCCGCCCCGAACTTCCGCCTGCATCCGTCTTCCGCATCTTCCGCGCCCTCCTCGCCTCGACCATCACCCGCTTCAAATCCCTAAATCCATTGTCGCGAGAGAATATTCTCCTACGTCCTCTTAGCGGCTCTCCACCTCTTGAGGTTTGCCGCGTAGCACCGCGTCGCTGCTCTCCACCCACCGATGTTCGCCACGTGGCTGCGCCTCGCGGCCCGTCAGACGCACGTGGGCGAGGCGGCGGAGAAGGGATCAGCGGCGGTGATCCTCCGGATAGTGCGCGAGCACGGACCGTGCAATAAAAATGTCTTATGGACGCATGCAGAGGTATAATTCTTGAAATTCCTTGGTGATCCGCCGGATAGTGCGCGAGCACGGGCCGTGCAGCAAGAACGTGCTATGGAGGCATGCAGAGGTAACCAGAAGGTGGTACGACGTCGCGCCGAGGTAATAAGAACATCTTGTGTAGATTATGAAGCGCTTCATAACGAGGAATTACGGACGTGGGATGTCGAGGCGCGGAGGCGTGCCGTCGGCTGTTAATTCATTAGTAAGGGGTATGACAAAGGGTCAGTTCGACCCGGAATATAGTAAACTTGATCCTTATTACTTTACGAACAAACGGAGACAGCAAAAGGAAACGTAGGAAAATGGCCAGCAGCAGTGTGAGCAGGAGAAAGGGTAGACAATGGCTGATAAAGTTAAGATTTTTTTGTTTTCAGAAGTCTGCTTGAGCTCGCTCAGGGTTGAGTCTAGCAGTGTTTTTCTTTTGGGAAGAGGAAGGGGGAAAAAGGGGAGGAGGGGGGAAGGAGTCGGGGAAATGGGAAGAATAGGGAGGGAAAAAGGCAGTAGGTTCTCGGGGAAGTCGCTGTGTCACGGTGCGTCAGCACGTCTGTAGCTTGAAGTAATTGCTTAAAGGGAGTTGATAACTGGTGGAATTGGTTGGGATGCCAGGCCAGGGCTGGCAAATCTCCTGCTGCACTCAATTTTCCACCTTCTTTCTCCCTGCTTTTTTTTTTTTTTTTTTTGGCTCTTGTTCATACTTTCTTTGTTTGCCTTCCTCCTGTCGCATGCTGGTGACACATTGTCACCCCCGATGCACATATATGCAATAGCCAGTTGAAACCCTATTCTTCGTCTGGTTCACCCACCTCATCCAGAGAAAAGGGGTTCCTTTGTCTCAATTAATCAAGTGCCTCTCACATATATACCCGGTGCAGTCTTCCCTACACCTTTTCCTCACCCTTCCATCACCCTCACATCCCATGACTCCTCACCAGGAGGCAGAGGTGAAGCGCAAACGTGTAGAGAGGGTGTTTTTGAGACGTCTCAAAAACACCCTCTCCACACGCACCTTTTCCTCACCCTTCCATCACCCTCACATCCCATGACTCATCACTATGAGGCAGGGGTGTAGCGCAAACGGCGTATGAAGCTCATTCTGCAGTAGCTCATGGGAAAGCTTTATGGGGTTAATCGATCAAATGCCTCGCACATGGCATGCGTCATACTCTCTTCTCCCTACCCCTGTCTTCCATCCTCCCCCCCCCCTCGCATGTCCCCATGTTCTTCCGATCCTCCCTCTCCAGGAGGCGGGAGTGAAGAGCAAGCGGCACATGAAGCTCATGCTGCGGTGGCTCATAGAGAAGAATCAGATCCGCATTAAGTGCCTCACACATGACCCCTCAGCGCCACACCAACAGCCTGGGATCGCAGGTTCGGCAGGAGGAGCAGCGGAAGCAGCTGCTGCTTCAAGGGGAGCTGGATCGGGTGCTTTTGCTGCGGCGGCAGCGGCTAGAGTGCAATCGGCAGGTGTGAAGAAGAGATCGACAAAGCATGTGTCTGTAGAAAAGGAATTTATTTACTCCATTGCCCTGAGATATGTTCCACCAAGCTCGTGACCATAATTTGAGTTGATTTGCAAATCCTAAGGGTTTGGTTTTTACGTTTTTATGAAAGCTGCACCTGTATTGACATCTCCTCTCCTGCGCTAGTGAAGATTCAATCTGAAGAGAAATGCTAACCTCGTTTTATAATCACGGGGATCAGGCCCCACGTTATCAGGGCAAAACATCCTGATTACCCTGAATTCAGGATGAAGTTTTGAATTTACCCTGTCATTTCAGAATAGTGTAAATTTTTACCCTGACGTCTCAGGATGTTGTTATATGAAATGCCCTGAACATTCAGAATGGCTGTAGTGTTCTTCCCTGTAGCGTCAGGATGAAAACCGAGGCCTGCCCTGACGCGTTTTTTGTTTGGGGCGGGGGGAGGTCCCATAATTCTCTCCGTAAAACATGTTTTAGAGCACTCATTCATCCATCTATCCATCCAGAAGTGGCCTAGTCAGTAGAAAGTTACTTCCGATAGATGAGGTTGTGGGATCGAACCTACCCCTTGTGCAGGCGAGTATACACTTCTGCTTTAACTCTGTCAACAATCCAATCTGAACCCTGAACACTTCGTTTTTTGCCCTGGCAGGTCAGGATTGATTTCTGAAAAAAGCCCTGAATATACAGGAAGGCTTCGAAAATTTGCCCTGACAAATCATGGCATTTTTTACGATTCTGGAAAGGTGCCCTGAGGCCTCAGGGTGCCCCAAATCCTAGCACGGGCCCTGACACGGATGACAAAAATGTTGTGTATACATTGGCTGCTGGAAGATGTTTCATCACTACATGTAGGGGCGGTTGATAAAGCAGGCCTATATCGAGTTCGCTGCTTTGGCGAATCGGGGGTGGGTTCAGCAGCAGGACACTTGCGCCAATATTGCTGGAGTCAAGCACATGCGACACTCGTCCAGTGCAGTAGGACAAGGAATTCAGCCCGTGACGTGAGTGGATGATTCACACGACCGCACAAATAAGGGCACGTGTCTTTTGGTTTTTACATGCAAATCTCGAATTTTTTGTTGAACTGTAGTCATATGAACCTAGCTCGAGCTAGGCTCGAGTTTTCACCAACTGCAAACCGAGCCGCGGTTCCACCCCTCCCGAAAATCACGCGACAAACAAAAGTTCAACTATCGAAGTTGAACTTTTGCAGCCCAGCCGAGCCGCGACCTACTCTTGAAGGTTACCCGGTTTGGGCTCTTGACATCGCGCCACCGGGACTCGCGCTGACGAGCACCCTCGTGCGCACGATGCTAGCTGCGAGCGTCGCAGACTTCGCATCGTCGCTGTCAGTGATGAGGTGGACACACGCTCGCACATTCGTGCCAACCTGTTTGTTGATGAGGGTTCAACTTGGGGGCTCAACATTTTCCGATGCCGGAAGTGTACGTGGACACACGACGTCCTGGCGAATGTTTTGGCGGAATTAATGAATAGGGTAACCAGCAAAAGTTCAACCAAAAATCCGAACGTCTACACCAAAAGACACGCGCCCTAATTGTGCGATCGAACGTACATGCATGCATATGTACATGGAACTTCGTGTGGTTTAGAGTTGTGGAAACAAAATATCTTAACCGCACTATACCACACCCTATCTTCCTGTGCCGAAGCCCGCCAAGTCGAAGGAACTCTATCTACACGCTGCCCGGGTTGTAAGGACTTCAGGGCAGCAAAACTTTCGTGGACCTTTCGATGAACCCGAGGTCGAGGCTCTGAGAAGCAGCAGTGTCGCACACCGCCGCATGCCCAACGACAGACGAGTCGACGATTCTCCAACGTCTGGAAGACGCTTTACCGCACCTTCCAAATGACTGCCATGCCAACTTGTTGACGCCGCCGAGCCAGGAAAATCGGTTGTCGGAGAATTCGCTCGGTCACTGCGGGCAGTGCGAAGGGTGGACATGGCGGTTCGGCCGGCTCCTTGAGAATTGCGAATGCTCCCGTCATCAACAAGGCTCTTCCCTGCCTGACCAATAAGGTCTAGCGGGACGCGTTCAATTTGGTCAGGTTAATTAGCCAATCAGCTTCAAGGCGTTTCTCGCGGCAGTCCCAAAGCGAAAAGGCTCCATCCATACACAATTCTTCCTGACCAATCAGTAACAAACCACAGAACCGTACTGGAAATTAATGTTACGCACGAATACCATACTAAACCCAGCTTTTCAGGCCATCCCATTCCAAGCCAGCCTTCAGGGCTTGTTGCTGGCGAACCAGGATGAGCGGGGCAAGCGGAGCCGTTGAATGTCAGCGCCTCTCATCATCACCCCTGCCAGTGATCTTGTCAGTCCCCGCCAGCGCTTACCAGTTCCCCCGCTCCTGCGGGATACCACACAAAGCGCACAGAATACCCGCTCTCCTGCGGCATCACACACCACACGCGGAACTCCCCCGCTGTGCCCTCGCTTCCCCCGCTCGTCACGCGACTCACAAACCCAACCTCTCGCAGCAGCAGCAGCACCGATTGAGACCAGGCTGTAAACGTTGGCCACTTCCGCGGCATTCGGCTGGAAGAGAATCCACACCACCACATATATAAGTCACAGAGGCACACAAGCCCCATACAACTTGACTCTCTCGATTTTGCCATTATTGCAGCCTATATTTCCGCCGATTTTGAGAAACTCAAGCGATCCATATCAGATTACAGGAAGTCTATTTCCTCACTGGACTTCTCGAAAGTATCCGCTTGCGCAGCGCTAGTTAGTACAAGCAGCGCTTGGGGACGCTCTCTGTAAACAGCGTCCCTTGCTGTGGCAGCCCCTTACTGCCATCGAGCTGCCAGGTTCTTTAAATAGTCCCTCGTCTTTTCCATCCGTTGTATCTCTCAGCTACTCCTCCTATCGTTCCTTTTCGGTCCTCGGAGAGTGTAACCGAGTACAGCAAAAGCAACAGAAGCAAAAGCTGATACCAGCACTCAAGATGCCGTACTGTGTGATTCCGACGAATGCAAGCAGTGGGAAGGGAAACAAAGGAATGAGTGCGAAAGCGGCAGAAAGCGGCGACGATGGACAAGTGAAACTGTTCTATGAGACATATGGCAGAGGCGACACGAAAGTGCTCATGATCATGGGTGAGTGACATCCAGAGGCGCTCAACACGAAATTCGAAAATCAGAATACGTTTTATGGCTTGTTCTATTTTGTTTTGGAGTCTGTGTGGAGTGCTGGGATTTCTCGGACGATTAATCTCATGTATTCTTCCTATTTTCTGAATTTGCTACCCATTGCAGGCTTTGCTGCCTCGCACATCGCATGGGCGCCGCAGATCAAGCCGCTTTCGGGCACCGACATCCCCAACAGCAAACGGATATCGAAGCAGCCTATAACGGATTCCGCTGCAGCACCAGTCACCAGCTCCGACGACAATTCCGCCGCTCCTCCTGCCGCGCGCATGGACGACCGGTCTGGATGCAACGAAAATGGTGACTGTACGGTTGCGGTGACAATAGAGGGGGTGGACGCGCGGGGAGATATGCAAGCTGTGTCGGACGGTGGGCTTGAGCAAGCGGCTTTGCGGCAGGAGGAAGGGGGTAAGGAGCAGAGGGAAGCGGAAGGAGACGGGGAGGACGAAGAGGAGGATTTGATTCTCACAGGCAGGGAGGTTTGCGTTTTCGACAACCGAGGGATTGGCAACAGCACGTGTCCCACCGACAAGAATGCATATACGTGTGTATCTGCTATTGGTGCTTCCTGTGTGTCGCATCTTGTCAGGCATTTTATTTCTCCAGCCGATATCTTTTCAGCATGCACGGTCAATTCAAGGTACACCTTCTCTTTTTGCATTCTCGGCGATATCTTTTCAATGTATCCACCAGAACTACGATCATGGCGATGGATGCGCTCCATCTGGTGTCGTACGGATCAACTCAAAATGTATCTGTTTTTTTTTTATTATTCATCTTCTTTTTCCCTCTTTCGTATCCACCAGAACTACGATAATGGCGATGGATGCGTTACACTTAGCGGATCACCTCGGCTGGACGCATTTCCACCTGGTGGGGCATTCCATGGGAGGCATGATCGCCAGTAAAGTGGCTGCCACCGCTCCCCACCGAGTGAAATCTCTGGCGCTTATCAGCGTCAGCGGCGGCGGCTTCGACCTTCTGCCCAGGGTATGCGACCTGAACAGTGCTCCGTGCGTTGCTCTTGAATGCGTGTGTGCACAAGGTGACTTTGACTCGACTTAAAGGCCACCTTGGCTTCGACCTTCTGCCCAGGGTATGCGACCTGAACAGTGCTCCGTGCGTTGCTCTTGAATGCGTGTGTGCACAAGGTGACTTTGACTCGACTTAAAGGCCACCTTGGCTTCGACCTTCTGCCCAGGGTATGCGACCTGAACAGTGCTCCGTGCGTTGCTCTTGAATGCGTGTGTGCACAAGGTGACTTTGACTCGACTTAAAGGCCACCTTGGCTTCGACCTTCTGCCCAGGGTATGCGACCTGAACAGTGCTCCGTGCGTTGCTCTTGAATGCGTGTGTGCACAAGGTGACTTTGACTCGACTTAAAGGCCACCTTGGCTTCGACCTTCTGCCCAGGGTATGCGACCTGAACAGTGCTCCGTGCGTTGCTCTTGAATGGTTGTGTGCACGAGGCTCGTTCTGTCAGTGCTGCACGGGTCAATGCACGTTTCTTGCCTGTGTGAATGCATGCATGTGTTGCTCACTTCTGTTTCCCTGCTCCTATTCTCCCCTCTCTCTCTCCCTCTCTACCCCTCTCTCCCCCCCGTCGTCTCTCTCCGCCTCTATCCTCTCCTGTTACCCAGCTCGACAGCCGGCTCTTCTCCATGGGTGTGAGGATGATGAAGGCGCGTACGCTGGAAAAGAGGGCGCACGTGGACCTTGTTGCTCATTCTTTCTTCCTCTCCCTACCCTTCTCCCCTCCTCGTGTCCCTCGCCCCTGGTAACCAGCTTGACAGGCGGCTCTTCTCCGTGGGCGTGAGGATGATGAAGGCGCGTACGCCCGAGATGAGGGCGCACGTGGACCTGGACACGCACTTCTCGAGGGATTTCATGGACGAGGTGGCTGGCGGCTCTTCAAGAAGAGACCTGCTGCACGTGGTGAGCAACTAATTCCCCTGGCTGCTGACTGACTGTTGACTGACTGCTGACTGACTGGGGAGTGGGTTGCATTGAGGCACGCAACGAGATGAGGGCGCACGTGGACCTGGACACGCACTTCTAGAGGGATTTTATGGACGAGGCAGCTGGCGGCTCGTCGCGGCGAGACCTGCTGCACGTGGTGAGCAGAGCAGCATTGCAAAACTGAGACCTGACTGACTAACTGACTGACTGGTTGACTGACTGATGCGTGAAACAGACGCCTTATAACTGCATCATATTTTTAGCTCTGTTTCCGCCTGCTCAAGTCTTGATGCGTCTCAAAACTGCCTCAGTGAGTTGACCTGTGACTGCTACTTCCTTTCCCCTTCCAACTGCCTGTCTCGTTGGTGCAGGAGTACGTGCAGGTTCTGTCGGAGCCAGGGGCAATGCAGCCGCCGCACGCAGCGAGCGGGCATTTCAACGCGTGCTGGACGCACAAGCTGACCCGGGGCAACATTGACAGAATCTGCAGTGCTCGCATCCCCACCGCCGTTATTCATGGAGTGTGAGTGCCTCGATTGTATGATGTGTGACTCTGAGATGCAATCGCTGCTGTCTGGACGCACAAGCTAACTCGAGACAACATTGACAGCATCTGCAGCGCTCGCATCCCCACCGCCGTGATCCATGGAGTGTGAGTAACTCTAAACTATACCATGTGATTTTGAGATGTCCCCTTTGTTGTTTGCTTCACACATCACACACCCGCCCGCGTTGCCCACACACACCAGCAGTGGCCTTGATATTTTCCGGTTCCCTCACCTTCTCAATTCCCCTCACGTCCTTCTCTCTTCCTTCCTGCAGTGACGACATCATAGCACACGTCTCCCTGGGTGAGCGAGTGGCCAAGCGATTAGCGGCAGTGGCTCGGTTCATCCCACTCCTAGGGGCGCACATGGTGGTGCGGGAGCGCACCCACGAGGTGAACGCGTGTCTGGAGGAGCTCTTTCACGCCGCGGAAACGCGCGTGCCGGTGGAGCAGTGGGTGCGGAGTCGTAGCGATGTGGATCTCCCTGGCTCGGCGCGCGAGCAGCACGAGAAGGCCAAGAAGAAGACGCTTGCTGCAAAATTCAGGCACGGTGCTGCACACTCTCCTCCATCCCCACCCCCACACCCCCCCTTGCCCCCCCACTCCCCCCTTTTTTTTCAGAGTCTCTTATGTGCTTCATGACGTGCTGTGGTGTCTTTGCTGTACATCCATCGTCCTCCACTCTTCTATGCTTCTTTGTCTCTCTCTATTCTATTGCGGTGCCTGTATTGACCACTCCCTCTTTCCTTCTTACTCCATCCTTAGCATGCTCGCAAAGGCACCCTTCCTCACCCCTTTTCTCCTCTTTTCTCTATACCTCCCTTACCCCATCCCCGTTGTCACACCTACAGGGCTTTGCTGTGGAGCTTGTTTCTCCCCCTGTACCTCGTGATCTGCCAGCTGCTGTCATGGCCGTTACCTGACGAAAAGAGCCCAACTTACAGACCTCGAAGTGAGGGCTCGGGCATGATCGACGTGGAATCGGGTCTTGATGATGCATGCGAGGGAGAATCTGCATCGCTGCGCTGCTGCTGCTCTCCTTGGAGTGCTAGTTTCCTGAGAAGTGATATGAAATATGGTGGAAATGGGAACGGAGGGGTGAAGGGCGGAGAGGTGAGGGGATTTTTTGCTGCTGCTTCACCAGCTAGACCGTCTGGGTTGGAATCGGATGCATCTCCAGCTGCCGCATCACCCCTTCTCGCACCTCCCGCTCCCACAATAATGGTTCATGGCTGACAGCTACGAATATACTGCCTGACCAGGGTGGTCGAGTTTGCCTGCTCCCGCCCTCCTCATACTGCCTCTCCATCAAGCTCGATGGATACAGAGGCAAATAAATGGTCAAGATAATTTGGCCCATGGTGTTTTCAGCGCACTAGCTACCATAGAGTCTTCTGTGTAGTGCGCGCCAATAAGAATGCAAGAAATGTATACGTCATGAGCTAATGGCTATTACTAGTGAATGATAAAGCCCAAAGGCAGCATGTTATAACGCAATATTATTGAAGGTAAGAATGTGCTGGCAAAAGCTGGAAAATAGGAGCTTCAAAATCTAAGGAATTTGAAAACAGCCGTCCTAAACTGTACTGGAGAATCTCCCCTCATCCCATGAAAGGTGGAACACGTATGTTCATCAGCCAATCTTATGCCAGTCTTCTCCCGACCTGGTGGGAAAATCGGTTGCTGCTGAGGAATTATATTGCGCGGTGTAGGGAGGAGGAAAATAGCGGTTCGGCCTTCGCCAGCAAGGCACCTCCCCTGCTCGAACCAGACATGGCGTGAACCATGATCGACCCAAGCCAACTCAACCCAACCTTCCTGCACCCAGCAGAATGCTCATCAGCCCTCAACCCGCCCAGGTAGTTCAGGCAGGCCACTACGTTCTTCCATTCCCCAGAGGAATATGTGAAAGCCACACAGCTTCATTTCTCGCATGCTCGCTCAACTCGACTCCTTTTTGCAGCCTATACATTTCCTCCAGTTCCTTATCATCTCCAGCACTCCATATAAAGTTACAGGAAGTATAGTCGTCACTGGACTTCTCTGAAGTTTTCGCTTGCGCAGCGTTAGCTAGTACAAACAGTGCTCCATCATGTTCTTGCGCAGCACTAGCTAATTCAAAGAAACCTTGAACACAGCAACCAGGCGACCCATGCTATGGTACTCACCTTCTCGTTCCTTTTTTACACTCTGAAAGTGTAACCGAGTGCAGAAAAAACGCTAGAGGAAGCTAACTTATAGAAGATGCCGTACTGTGTGATTCCGACGAATGCAAGCAGTGGGAAGGGAAACAACGAAAAGAGTGCGAAAAATGCAGAGAGCGGCGATGACGGACAAGTGAAACTGTTCTATGAGACGTATGGCAGAGGCGACACGAAAGTGCTCATGATCATGGGTAAGTGACACGTTGACTCGTTTCGTAACACGTTTCAATGGCTTGTTCCTTTTTTGTACGTGCTGAGGCTTCCCTGACGATCAGTGTCACTTGTTCAACAAGAAAAAATCTTCCTCTTTTCCGGATCCGCTACGCCTTGCAGGCTTTGCTGCCATGCACAATGCATGGTGGCCGCAGATCAAGCCGCTTTCAGGCACCGACATACCCAACAGCAAATGGGCATCGAGGAAGTCTAAAACGGATTCCGGCGCAATGCCTTCTACTGCAACGCCTTTCGCGGTAGCACCCACCGCTGCAGAGCCTTCCTCTGCAGAGCCTTCCTCTGCAGAGCCTTCCTCTGCAGAGCCTTCCTCTGCAGAGCCTTCCACCGCAGCTCCTCCCGCTGCAACGCCTTTTGCCGCAGCACCGCCTGCTGCAACGTCTTCCGTGGCAGAACTTACCGCTGTAAGGCCTTCCGCTGCAGAGCCTTCCGCTGCAGAGCCTTCCGCTGCAGAGCCTTCCGCTGCAGAGCCTTCCGCGGCAGCACCTCCTGCTGCAATGCCTTCTGCTGCAGCCCCTTCCGCCGGACCTTCCTCTGCAGCACCTCCTGATGCAGCACCAGGCAGTGGCTCGAATGTCAATGCCGCCGCTCCTCCTGCAGTGCGCATGGACGACCGGATTGAATGCAATGACACTGGTGACTGTACAGTGGCAGAGACAATAACGGCGACTGTAGAGGGGGTGGGGGAAAGGAATGATGTACAAGCTGCGTCGGACGGTGGGCATGAGCAAGCAACCTCAGAGCCGCATAAAAAATCGGTTGTGGTGACAGTAGAGGGGGTGAAGGAAAGGAATGATGTGCAAGCTGCGTCGGACAGAGGCCTTGAGGAAGCGGGTTTGCGGCTGGAGGGAGAGGGGAAGGGGCAGAGGGAAGCGGAAGGATGCGAGGGGGAGAAGGAAGAGGAGAAAAGGGAAGAGGAAGAGGAAGAAGAGGAAGAGGAAGATGTGTCTTTCACAGGCAGGGAGATATGCGTTTTTGACAACCGAGGGATTGGCAACAGCACGTGTCCCACGAACAAGAAAGCATACACGTGCGTCTTTTCTCTTGGTGCTTCAGGTCAAGCGAGCGTAAGTGTCGCTCAGCAGCAGAAGCCTATCGGTCACGCCAGTTGTTCTGTCTCATCCCTCGTCATACACCTTCAGGCTCTATCGTTTCAGCCAGCAAAGTGTCTCCCTCGCGGCCCGTTTCCTTCCCTCCCATCTTTCAGGAACTCAAGATGCACTTATTTTGCTCGGTCTCCTTCCTTCCATTTCAATGGATGCACTTCACCTGGTGAATCACCTCATGTTGTCGACTCAACATGCACTTTTATCTCTCCCCTCTTCCCTATCCACCAGAACGACGATCATGGCGATGGATGCACTTCACCTGGTGAATCACCTCATGTTGTCGACTCAACATGCACTTTTATCTCTCCCCTCTTCCCTATCCACCAGAACTACGATAATGGCGATGGATGCGCTACATCTCGCGGATCACCTCGGCTGGACAGAATTCCACCTGGTGGGGCATTCCATGGGAGGCATGATCGCCACCAAAGTGGCTGCCATCGCTCCCCACCGAGTGAAATCCCTGGCGCTTATCAGCACCAGTCGTGGCGGCTTCGACATCCTCCCCAGGGTATGCCAGTGGTCGGTGGCAAACTGGTGAGACAAACTGGTATCCCCTGGTACGCCCTTGTCGTGGTGTTACGCCCTGGTGCTTGAAATCCCTGGCGCTTATCAGCACTAGCCGTGGCGGCTTCGTCATCCTGCCCAGGGTATGCAGCTTGGTCGGTGGGGCAATCTGGTCAGTGTGCCTTCTGTGGCATCGTGGATGGATGGGTAGATTCGAAACTTGAAATCCTTGGCGCTTATCAGCATCAGTCGTGGCGGCTTTGACATCCTGCCCAGGGTATGCGACCTTGAGTATGGTATGCGAGTATTCTTTTACGTCCTTGCCCCTGTTCTGTGTGTTCCTCTTGAGTGCTTCTGCACATGACCCATCTGCAGCACATAAACAATCTGTGCAAGTCCCATTCTGTCAGCCTTCCTCCCCTTCTCTTGTCCCTAATCTTTCTCCATTTCCCCGCGTGTGGATCTGGTGATGCACTTTTCAAAGGAGTTCATGCAGCAGGCAGTTGGCAGCTCGTTGCAGAAAGACCTGCTGCACGTGGTGAGTAGAGCAGCAGTGCATTTGCTTTGTAGGAGACCCGAGATGAGAGCGCGCGTGGATCTGGTGATGCACTTCTCAAAGGAGTTCATGCAGCAGGAGGTGACAGGCAGCTCGCTCCCACTGACTGCTGCAGTTCTGCACTCTCCAGAATTAAATCTTAGAAGCGACACAACGGCAGGAGTGCGTGCAGTATCTGTCAGCACCAGGGGCGATGCAGGCGCCACACGCTACCAGCGGGCATTTGAACTCATTCAGTTAGTTCAATGCGCCCGTGCTAATCGTGTACCCATCCATCCCGCCCTCCTCATGCTTGCAGGAGTACGTGCAGTATCTGTCAGAGCCAGGGACGATGCAGGCGCCACACGCTGCCAACAGACATTTGAGCTCAATTAAGCTAGTTCAAGCAGATATTCTGGACGCACTTGGGCTAACCGTGTACCCCACCCGTCTTCCATCCCTCTCTCCTCAGGCTTGCAGGTATGTGCAGTATCTGTCAGCGGCGCCAGGGGCAATGCAGGCGCCACACGCTACCAGCGGGCATTTGAACTGAATTACTCAGCCTGGTCAAGCAGGTATGCTGGATGCACTTGGGCTAACCGTGTACCCCACCCGTCCCCCATCCTGCTCTCCTCGTTTCAACAGGAGTACGTGCAGTATCTGTCAGCGCCAGGGGCAATGCAGGAGCCACACGCTACCAGCGGGCATTTCAACGCGGTTTGGACTCACAAGCTGACCCGAGAGAACGTGGAAAGCATTTGCAACGCTCGCATCCCCACTGCTGTGATCCATGGAGTGTGAGTAGCTCTATTTTTTACTGTCTATACATGAGATGCCCTCTCTGTTGTTTGGACGCACAAGCTGACCCAAGAGAACGTTGACAGCATCTGCAACGCTCGCATCCCCACTGCTGTGATCCATGGAGTGTGAGTGATTCTATGCTATACCGTGTGACTCTTGAGGGGCTCTATTGTTCGATGTGTGACTCTGAGATACCCTCTCTGTTGTCTAGTCTGGAGTCACAAGCTGACCCGAGAGAGCATTGACGGCATCTGCAGCGCTCGCATCCCCACCGCCGTCATTCACGGAGTGTGAGTGTCTCTTTTCTACACCGTGTGAACTCATGAGGTGGCCAATTCTGTTTATGGGATTTTTAAATAACAGATTAAGGCGCCAGAGGTAGCCAAAGGTGGCCAAGCCATTATCGTGCTGTCTGTCTGCCTGCTGACTTCCGGGGTTTTTTGTTTGTTTGTTTGTTTTTCTTTCTTTCTTTTTTGTCAAGCGCCCGACAACAATGGCTCAATGTCTTTCGCTGTTGGTCGTAGTTCACGTGGCAG